CAAGTGAAAAGAATGGATTTATTTACTTCTCAATTCTTCTACTTCTCAATAATGAATTTATTTACTTTTTCATCCTGTATCATCTCTCAATGGCACTCTCCAACAAGTAACTTTGTAACTAAAATCAAATGGCTGGTTTGATTTAGAATTTTAAGCATACTTAAGTGAAAGATGAGCAACCAAAAGCCAAAGAGAAAAGGCATTTGTTTAACGACACGGCAACTCTGCAATAATCCATACGCTTGTCTCACCCTTTAGCTAAAGGGTGCACATTCAGTGCCTGAAGGCTACTCCAGTCTCCCTTTCCAGCCTTGCCTCCTGGGGGGGTTTTGCTGGGAATGTGAAGGATTATCTCCCACCAGAATAAAGTGAGAAAACAAAATCCTTTCACTGTAGTACATCAGGCAAAGGCAATCACACACTGACACGACCATGAGCAGAACCAGGAGCAAGCATTTTTTTTTTCCATAGCTGTAAGAAAACAATACTTCCTCTAAGTTATATGACTTTTATTAAGTATGTTTTCCTTACTAAACAGACCTTGGCTTTTAAAAGCAAGATGGTATTGAGCAGCAAAGTGTAAACCAGGTCCAAAGCTATGTGAAATGTGAAGACTAGTACTGGATGTGAGAGCTCTTTCAAAGGCAAATTCACAAAGTCCATACGCTGTTCTTTAGAAAGACCAGAACTGGTCAATGCCAAATCAAAAATTAACAACTTCCAGTGATAAGTATCAGGATATTTCAAACCTTGGGTTTATTTTAAAGGTTTCTCTGTCTCATTCCTGATTTTAGGAGAATATTTTGATCAAAGCCAAAATAGCAACACATAAAGAAGTGCTGAAAGGGAGAGGGATAATCCTGTCCTTGATGCTGCTATTGAAATACATACTTCTGCCCAGCCTGGAAGAGAGCATCTCACTGGGATTTCTACAGATGGCTTGGGTGGGAAAGACAATAGGAATGAACTCCCAAATACATAAGACCAGAAAGGGAAAAGAAATCCACAGCAATGTGAAGCTAGTTAAGACACAAAGTGCTGTTAAAAGCATAATGCAAATAAATGGGGAAAAAAAAAGGGGGGAGGGGGGGCAGAAAAATCTCCTTAATCTCCCTAATATTCAAAGGAGTAACAGGGATTACTTGTAACAATAGCAGATTTTTTAAATGGTAGCATGTTTCAAGTTGCCAGAATGCTTGTAATTACATTTAGAAAGTTAAAGTCTATTGCATGAACTAGACAAATTCAGTCATTCATTATAATGATAAAGTTGCTGATTCACTAACATTTTTAATCCTGCAATTTGCATATTTAAATACATTTTAACAATATCCTTTTAATACCCAAATGCTTTCACGCTGGTAACCTCAGTACACTGGCTGATGTGGCAGTTTAAAGTATTTCAATGAGGATATTTGGGTCTCTTGAACTTATGTTTTAAAGCTGTCCAAATACATACCCTCATAAAGCAGCCAAAGAAATTAAAGCCTTGGTGTACATTAAGACTGATTCAGACTATCTCAAAACAAACAGCATTTTTAAGGCCACAAGGGACCACTTGTGATTCCCATTTAACTGCCTGCACAAAGCAGCCCAGATTTCACCCTAAAAATCCAGCAGCAAGTAGAAGCTGCAATACAGCTGAACATCCGGCACAGAAACATCCTTAAATCACCCAACTCACAAGTAAGACTTAAAAGGTGGAAAGACAGTCTTAATCTTCCTTCTGTGAACAGGCAGAGTGCACAAGCTTCACCAGTGCATCAGGGTGACACATTTACAGCACAGTAGGATGAATTATTAAGGTATGGTGCTGCTTCATACACGTTCCCATCTTTACTACATACAATTGTAATTACAGGAATGACAGTCATTAAAACATTTCAGTTTTGAATATTCGTTTCTATGCTGTCATCTGTTAAAATGCAACCACTAAATCTCATTTTTTTTGTTGTCTGTATAAAAATTATCCTAGCAATCTGCATGGTTTTTATCATTATTTACATAATAAATGTTAACTCATATTTAATAATGGTTATTCCTACAAGAATCCATAGTCACAGCGACTATATCTTCATTCCTGTTGTGTAACACTGACTTTTTGCTCCTTCCCCCTCGTTTTGGTATCATCAGATCCAGGGACATCTGGATGGATGAGCCAAACAGAAAAGGTTCACGTGCCATTTATTTTATGAGCACATTCTGAAATGTTAAATCAAAGCCATAATTACAAGGCACCAGAAATAACCTCAGGTCTACAAGTGCTTTCAGAGTAAGAATTTGCCCACATATATTCCCCAATTCTTGTCTGAACACTGGAAAACACATTTTCCAAAGCTGCTCCTATACTTGCTGTAACCATAAACTTTAGGAGAGAAGGGGCAAAATGTAAGCCTAGTCTTTATTCCCAAATGCTGCCATACTACAGTCACAAAGGTAGTGCCTTGATATTGTATTAAAGCATGGAAAACAAAGTTAGTTCAACTCGCATTTAAAACCTCACATTCAAATCACCTTCAAAACTCAACTCTCACGACTTTTATTTCAAATGAGTCCTGAAACTTTGTTATTTATTTATGCTGCTTCCCATGGCTGATGTTTACTCACCAAACGTGTATAGACAACAGACTGAACCTATGATATTGAAATTCATCAGCGTTTGTAAGAGAGGCTTCTCACAAAATCAACTGCCCAGCTTTCCTCCTGGTGTCTGCTCAACATCTCTGATGGCTGATCTTTACAAAAATCACTATCTGAGGCCACATTTGACACCACAAGTCTTAAAACACAGCATAAAATACTTTGTAGAATTAGTATTGTAAGTGCACAGAGTTTTCTCCCATTTTCAGCGCAAAAGAAAAACCATTTCAATCCCCCATTAAAACACTTTTAATTAATTAACAGAAATGCACAATTAACACAATGAAGAGGCAATATGAGATATGAAGCTTCATAGCCCACCTTTCTTCTTGACTGGCATTCTTCTTCCTACTTCTGAATCTGGTTGCAAGTACTTTATTACTGGTATTACCGATGCACTACTGGAACCCTTTGCGAGGTCAGGAGCTGCCTATCTATTGCAAACCACTTGTGCAGTTCAGTTAGGGAACGCAGCTTCAGTCTTCACTTCTATCCAGACTTGCTGTTTTCTGGAACTGGGCTTCCAACACTTCCCACAAAAGAGGGGGAAAAAAAGGGGGGAAAAAAGAAGCTTTTTGATATTTTTTTTAAGTGATGCTTTCAATTTCTTTAAAATATATTTGAATCTATAAAAATACAAGAGAAACTGTTCCTTGGGAATACAAAACCTTATTAGAACTCCTCTTCTGGCAGCAAAGTTTGAAAATTAAAAGGTTTTCTGTAATACAATTAAGGCACAGTCCATCTCTAGGCAGCTGTCTTAATCCTCCACCTGTACATGCTCAAAACCATTATCTGCAGGACAAAAAATGCCCAAAGAATCCAAATAAGGAGGAAGACAAAACCAATCCGAAGGGACTCTTTTAACTTCTTTCACTTCTTGAATGAATTTTGCTAGCTATGCATTAGGTGACTACAGAGCAGACTGAAAAGGTCCCTTTTTCCTCACCAAACAGCCTTCAAACATCACCCTCTTACCCAACAGAAGTCACTGGGCAGTCACTTTCATTTTTATTATCTGCGAGCCACCCAGCCTTATGGTCTTTAATGTCCCTCTGATCCTCCCATGTATTAAAAGAGAGGATTGAAAAAAAACGAGGAAAGCAATCCCTTGACCTGGAATTATTAAAGTGACAGTGCTGCTCACTGGGCACTTTGGCAAAGCAGATTGCTTTTATACCGGAGTCAGTTACTTCATGCCATTTCTTCCCTTGCACAGCAGCCACCTCGTGAAGAGAGGAAGAAGAAGAGTTAGGAGAAAAGCTTCACAAAAAGGTTCATTTTCAGAGATAATGATGTGTTAAAGGAAATGAAAAGCAAGCCATGAGCGCGGTCCAGTTTCCCACTCAGAAGCGCAGCTGGTTGGCTTCAATACGAGCCTCTTTCTCTCTCTCCCCCTTTTTCTGGAAAGAAACAAAAAGAGAAACACAAACGGGATAGATTTTCCTCATCTAGCTCGTTAAGCATGAAAAAGGTGGACAAGCTCCAAACGCTTCCCGTCCCCGCCTGAGGAGCTGAGATGCACATGACAGGGCTCTGCTTTGCATCGTCTTCTTTAGGAGATGGGGACTGTATTTGTGAAGGGGGCGGCTCTGTTTCGCTCGTTACCATTCACAACTGGGATCTGTTCCCTCCAAGCGGGGACTCTCCCTCCCCCCTTCGCTTTCTCCCGGTCCAAAAGGGGACTGTCTGAAGCGGGACAGGGCTGGCTTGGTCGCTGGGATGCAGATGAACTGGAGGAGCCGGACCAGGTTAAAAGGACAATTGGACAGGCAGGAGCTGAGGGGATGAGATGGAGGTGGAGCGAAGCGAGACGCAAGCGGGGAGAGAGGGGTTTAAATGGGGACGGGACGGGGAGCACAAAGGAGCTGGTGGAGAGGGAAGAGGGGGAAGCGGGACAGGGGCGCGGGGCTGAGAGGAAGGGGCCGCGGGCAGCGCGGTGCCGGGGCCCGGGTGAGGGGAGGGGGTCAGCGGGTTACCCCGAGGCCTCGGCCTCCCCCCATCGAAGGCTCCTCGCTCCGGTACGGGGAGTCCCCGCGTCCCGGCCGCCGCTGCAGGGTCCCCGCTCAGCCGCTGCCCCATGGAGGAGCCGCCACCGCCATCCGCCACCCCTAGCAACGAGCGCCGGGCCGGGCAGGGCCTGACCCCCGCCCGTCGGCTTGTGGCCAATTGGAACCCGCCATGCTGGGCCGGTGGGGAACACCCAATCAAAGGTGTCTTCTGAAGCGCTGGGTCATGTGAGCGGGCAAGATGGCGGCGTCCAGGAGGAGAGTGTGAGGTGGGCGGAGACATGTTGTAGGTGGTGGGGCCTTCCCGGCGGGACCGGCTTGGTAAGAGCAGGAATGGGAAAGGAAGAGGAAGAGGAGGAGAGGGGACGGGAAGAGAAGAGCCGAGCCGCCGGTGGGGCTGTGTGTGATGGGGACAGCGCAAGGTCGTGCGGGTCGGAGCCTGGCCCCGGCGGCAAGGCCGTGAGGACAAACGCGGTGAGGGTGTGGTGCTGAGGGGGTTAACGGACGTTTGTAACGGTCGTTAACGGCTCCTAACAGCTTTCGGTGGGGTTTAAAGCGTGGGGGTGAGCCGCGGCCTCATGGTGTAACCGGGGTTTGGGGACCTCCAGCTGCCTTACAGGCTTGTGAAGGGAACAGGGAGGGTCATAGGTTCACTGTGGGTAGTTACAGCGCCCTGGCAATGGTGGTGGTTTACCTGAAGGACGCGTTTGGACACTTGCCACTAGACACGGCCTCAAGACGGGGTAGTTCCTCTGCTCCAGCAGCCCGCCGAGCCCAGATCGAAGCGAGCACCATCCTACAGATCGGCCTTCAAGTCATAAAGGAAGCTAAAGGTCTAGTGAAGTAAGTCTGGGAAGCTTTTCTCTGGGAGAAAGCATCTGAATCGCTAAATACCGGGTTTAATGAGGAGCTCTTGTGGTGGGTTCCCTTCAGCTGGCTGCCAGGTGCCCGCCGGGCTGCTCTGCCTCCATCAACAGGGTAAGGGGAGGAAGTAAGGTTGAAAGCTCATGGATCAAGATAAGGACAGGGAGATCACTCAGCAGTTACCATTGCAGACAAAACGGACCCAACTCGGGGAAGTTAATTATTGCCAATTATATCAGAGTGGGGTAATGAGAAGTAAAACTAAATCTTAAAGCACCTTCCCCCACCACACCCCTCTCTTCTTTCCAGGTTCAGCTGTACTCCCTACCTAATTCTGCCTCCTCCCCCTGAGTAGTGCAGGGGAATGATGATTGTGATCAGTTCATCACATGTTGTTTCTGCTGCTCCTTCCTCCTCAGAGGAGGACTCCTCATGCTCTTCCCATGCTCCAGTGTGGGGTCCCTCCCACAGGACATAGTCCTCCATAAACTTCTGCAGCTTGAGTCTTCATGGCTGCAGGTGGAGATCTGCTCCACCATGGACCTCCATGGGCTGCAGGGGCACAACTGCCTCACCATGGGCTGAACCAGGGGCTGCAGGGGAACCTCTGCTCAGTGCCAGCAGCACCTCCTGCCTCCTTCTGCACTGACATTGGTGTCTGCAGGCCTGTTGCTCTCACATTCTCACTTCTATTTAATGGCTGTGGTTGTGCAGCAGGGTTTTTCCCTTCTTAACCATGTTCTCCCAGATCTGCTACCACCATCATTGGGGAGCTCAGCCTTGGCCAGAGGTGTGTCCATCTTGGATCCAGCTGCATTGGCTCTGTTGGATGTGGGGAAAGCTTCTGGCAGCTTCTAACAGAAGCCACCCTTTAGACCCCTTACTACCTAAAACTCACCACACAAACCCAATACAACTGTATGGTTTCTGACTTGATACACTTCTCTGGCTAAATGGGGGGGGGGGAAAGTCTTATTTGTGGAATATAAAATCAGAAGATAGCTTCATGATTTCTTTAAATCCTTACAAGAAGTATATATTTCTATTCCTTTTTAATATGGTTCTATTTGACAGTTAAGTCAATTTAAACCTGGGGTATTGCCAAAGCCATTGTACAGTTAATGTCCTCCCTTGTGCTGCAGGCATTGGGGATTGTAGTGTCAAAAGGTGATCCAGCTGGAAATAAGTACACTGCCTGTCATTCCTCTGAGCAATTTTCATCTGTGTTTCCCCATCCAAGCTGCTGTCTGGCTGCAGGGCTGGAGGTGCCCACGCAGGAGTATTTAGAGGGTGAGATAGCAAGCACTGAAGTTGGCTTGGAGCAATTGTCAAAACGCAGCTGCAACATCATTGAAGCAAGCAGTTTGTTGGGGTTTCTGTAGTTATAAACATCTCAGATTTCTGTGGCTGGGTTGTGCCCTTCCTGTCCAAAACTGCCATGGAAAATGCATTTTTGTGGTTGCATAGTAGCAACAGAGTCTAAATGTTTATTGGCTACGTACTGGGGCTGTGTAACTTTGATTCCATTGGTTTGTTCTTTATGATCCAGGACTTCAAGATGACAGGAAGAGAGTTTCTTGAACTAGATGCTCCACAGCATAGACTATATTTGGAAAGATTTCAGCGGATGGAACTCATACAAAAGATATTCAATGAGCTTCCTAAAGCAGATCAGTAAGTGCTGGTAAAATAAATCGAACATTTCAAGTCTTTTGGAGGCTTTTCTTTCCCCTTACTCTTGAACTGCAAATCTGCCTTGCAGTTACAAAAATATTTGATGGTGAAGATGCTCGTTACTGCCCAGAGCAGCAAACTTGGTTTGTGGTTTCTAAATACAGTCACTTCACTGTTACCTCTGGTGCTGCTCAGCTGGTTTCTGGCACGTGCTCCTCAAGGCTTAAGGATCTGGGATGGCTGATCCTGAGCTGGCTCTGAGTTTTCACACAGTGCTGTGCTTGAGCTAATACGTAAGGCAGGTCCTGTTGTGATTCTGCAGGAGTCATCTTGGCTCCAGCAGGGCTGGCTTGAGGCCAGAGCTGAGGGAGCATCAACCTGCCAGTGTGTGCATTTCATTCTGTGCTGCTCCCTGTTCCAGGAAGGTGAGACCCAGGTGTCCAGGCGATTGTGATGGATGGGTCAGCTGGAGTCGTGTGCGCTCACCAGCAGGGCTCTGTGCAGGATAAAATTCACTGACTGCCCTCAGGGCCTCACAAACCACCTCTCTATACCGCATTGCACCTTGTTGGAGCTGAGCTGGTCCTGTAAGGAGCTGTTTGCACGTCTGTATCATCTTGGATGAATTCTGTGTGAATAAGAGTAATCAGAAGCTTCTTTTATTTATTTATTTTTTAATAGGACTAAATTGTTGGCTAAGCAATGTGCTGGTAGTAACACAGGGCCTGTCCATACAGGTGAGAGAGAAAACTGCCAAGGCTTTATCCCTCCTGTCACAGTCAGTGGTGCAGCTTTGTGTAGGTTCTGCCCCCTCACATTCACCTTACAGCACTTCTTCCCCAGAAGAGCTGGGGAGACAAGGGGGAAGCAGGTACCATAGTGATGGTGTGGTAAGATCTTGAGAGAACATGTGGTATCATAGAATCATGGAATGCCAGGTTGGAAGGGACCTCAAGGACCATCTGGTTCCACTTTTCTAGGCGAAGCATGACCTACAGTGGATGTCCCAGCACCCTGTCCAGCCAAATCTTAATAGTGTTCAGTGCTGGGAATCCACCACTTCCTGGGGAGATTATTCCAATGGCTGATTGTTCTCTTTGGAGAAAACTTTCCTCTTCTGTCCAGTTGGAACCTCCCCAGGAGTACCTTCTGTCCCTCACCCCTCATCTTTTAACAGAATGTTAGAAGGAGCCTTAAAGCTCATCCAATTCCAACCCCTGCCACGGGCAGGGACACCTTCCACTAGGGCAGGTTGCTCCAAGCCCTGTCCAACCTGGCCCTGTGATTCCTTGTAAAAAGGGGGTCTCCATCTTCTTTGTAGCCTAGGCCTTGGAATGAAATCACTGCCAGGGACGTGTGCCTTTACTTGAACTGCCCTGGGAGGACTTAAAAGTTTGTATATCCAGAGGGGAGCTTGCTGTGGCTGGAAGAGAAGAGGGAGCATGCTGCAGTTAGGCTGAGAGAGTGCCTGCTTGCCAGAGCTCTTGGTTTTAGCACTATGGAGCTAGTATTGCAAACAAACGAGACCCCCAAACCCCAGCCCTTCCGTCATCCCTTTCTTTCCTTTGGTTCAGTGTAGCAGATTCTGTTGGTCCTGGGTACATTAATTTGCTCTATTTTGGCTTCTTAAACACGTTGCTAAATTTTAATCTCACTCCTCCACATTTATGTCTACGCACAGATGTATTTCCCTGCCTGGGATTGGAAACATACCAACAGGATGCAATGGCTGGGCTGCAGACACCATACCCTGGGGCCATTCTGTGAATGACCCTGGTATTGGGAGACCTGTGATTTGAAAAGCAGAGTTCTTTTTTAAGCAAACAAGAAAACACACAAAAAAAACATAGCTCCTAAATAAGAACAAGAGCAATACCTGACCAGTGACGCTCTTGTGCCATATCACATCCAAACTGAATTGTTAGTGGCTCATTTTCATGTTTGAATGAAAGTATTTTCATGTTCAAAATGGGACTAGTTGGTGTCATTGCTGTCTGGTGTTACTAATCTTTTTGGTTTGACACGATTAGCACCTACATTCTAAAGTCCTCTTTCTGTGATTAGAGCTCTATGGTCATTGCTTGATATTATTGTACATGTGAAAATGTAGAAGAATTTCAAGTGAATGGGTTTTTAAAAAGCATGGATTTTAGTTACAAACTGGTTTAGAGATTGTCACATTTGATAATTTAGCAAATTCATATGACATTTGGCCTCATATGAATTGTGTGACTGCGTAGGCATTTTGTTTTCTTTGGGGGTTTACTGCTAAATCCAACTTATGGAACATCTTTAAAACACATTTTAACATACTATAGGCAAAACCTTCCAGTTCCTCGCTTTGCCTGGCAGTGCTTCTCATTCCAGGCATTTCAGACTTGTGCAAACCTAAAGCAAAGAGTTATTTCCACTAATAACCAACTGTGCCAGGTATAATCTAAAGATAACACACTCCTTCCTTCTGCAAGTCAAATGAAATCAGTCACAAACTGCTCATCAGGCTTGTGAAGCAGGCACGTGTTCCCATTCCCTCGCTCCTGCTGTGATGGAATGTACTCAAATGGGAACTGTTTGTCGACATTAAATGCTGACTGTGTCTGAGCAGACTTTGTTCTATTCTGCTTTCACCTTATTAGAGATAGCAACAGGAATAGCTGCTCTAAACTCTATGTTAAAAACATAGTAGATAACAGAACCTGGTCCCTCTGTAATTGAAGGAAAGGAGAAACTCCAGGTCAGAATGCTGGACTTCTGTAGCCTTTAACTGGTGTAACCTCCTGGCAACATAGGCCTTTCAATGCAGGTGCTCCATGCATGTGAGGAAGGCTTGCAGCCTCTCAGCTTTAGGATGACTATCAGGGATCCAGCAGGAGCTGCTTAGATCATCACTGGAAGATCTCAGTGGCCGTAGTGGTCCACTGATCTGTTCTCAAAGCTCTTCTGTTCATACTAAATTTCTACTTGTGGGTAAGCAGACTGGAAACAAGGCTTATAAAAAACATATATCTGGTTTTCTCATTTCTTTTCAGAACAGATTATCCTTATATTTCAATATTGATGAAACAGGCTCATTGGGAGAGCAAATTTCATGACGTTTCCATTAGCTATAAGAAATAAAACCTATAGAGAAGGCTTCTCAGCCTTTCTGTGACTTTATTCTTGAGGTGTGTGTAAACCCAGGCATGTAGTGAAAGACGCACTACTGGGTGCCTTTGAAAGTAGCTGCTCTGCGGTTTGTACCAGGGAGAGATTTACATCTCTTACCTTATGCAGAATACTTAGAGGTGAATTGTGGCACTGAGTAAACCAAACTTCTTTACAGTTTTTAATTGCTGAAGCAGCTTTCCTTCTTTCACAGGAATCTGTGCAATCATGGATCATACTTCCTAGCAGCAAACGCAAGCTTATGTGGCTTGGCAGGAAATAACTTCTTCAGGAACATCCTACATGTCCGAAGAGCTGCCATTATAACTGCATTGCCAATGGCCGTGCTGCCATTTATTTCAACAGCAGCAGTTTATGAAATATTTGTGCGTCAGCCTTTATTTTCAGGTAAAAACCTCATTGTTATTCCTTGTTTTCAAAAGGGCTTTTCTTTCTGTATGCAGTGAAACCCCACAGGAGGTTTTCCTCTGCAGAACAGCGATCTTGAACTGTTGTGGTCTTGAAATGCCTCTGTTTGTAAAGCAGGGGTTGAAAAACAGTTTATCTAATGCATTGGGCAGCAGTGAGCTCTTCAAGTTGAGTGGGAAAGGAAATACATACGTTTGTTTATATGTGTTTATTAAATTCTGATACACATCACTTACCTTTAGCATTTTTGCTAAAGATGGTGTAAAAGGGACTACAACCAAGCAGTTCAGGTTTTCCCATCTGTATGATTTCATTTGAAGGTCATCTTTAGAGTGATAAATTCTTCATGGGTTGGAATGAAAGTGATACATTTGCAAAAGGAAGAGTCTTTTCAGAGCATCTTATGTACCTGTACAGCTTGGCCACTCCTGTCTAGTGTGTTTCCATAGTGTTGCATGCAGCATATAGATTAGATATCAGGAAGAAGTTCTTCTCTGTGAGGGTGCTGAGGCGCTGGCACAGAGTGCCCAGAGAAGCTGTGGCTGCCCCATCCCTGCAGTGTTCAAGGCCAGGTTGGATGGGGCTTGGAGCAGCCTGCTCTAGTGGAAGGTGTCCATGACCATGGCAGGGGGTTGGAACTGGATGAGCTTTAAGGTCCTTTCCAACCAAACCTTTCTGTGATCCTGTGTGGTGGAGCCATGTGGCTGTTGACAATGAAACACTGTTTGTCGTGCAGGTGAGCTGAACTGTGAGGTCTGTGCTGTGGTCAGAGGAGGACTGGTGGGGGCTGTTGTGGGTGGACTCTACCCTATTTTCCTGGCTATCCCCTTGAACGGAAGCCTTGCAGCCAGGTACGTCATCAACCTGCAATTAGTGAAATGTGTCTGTTGGTCAGATCTTTAGTTCAGTTTAAAATCTGGATGTTTAGCCTGTGCACACCTGTCTTCCTGTAGGGTTTTAGTACACAGGAAGGGATTTACACTAAGGTCATCTAATTACAAGGTAAAGTTCATTAAGAGCTCACCAAGCCTCCCAAGTGAAACAAGATCTGCAGACTGATAGACTGCCAAGCACTCATGTTTAGCTGGAACCTTACAAGTGACCCACGATGTGCCTGGGAAACTGTATTTGCCATCCTGCTAGGCCTTTCTGGATGGCCACGAGGCTTCACAGATCCTGAGCAAAGCCCATCTCCTTCCTGCAGGAGTAACTCCAGATTGGGTCAGAGCATAGCAAGGAGATGGTGAGATGCCAGTTTGTAGTTAGGGTGTTTCATAGCCTGTATCCAGAGAGCTCAGTACCACCAGGTGAATTTAACATAGGAGAGAATTAATTTCTGCCTCTAGATTTTTAATGTTAATTCTTGACATTTTGGATGGAAAAAAGATGGAAATGGAGTTTTTCCCCCTGTTTTTGCTGTTTAGGTATTCTTCATCACCCTTGCCAGGGAAGGAAAATCTCTTGCGCTTCTGGCTCAGCATTTCTCAGCCTGTCTTTAGAAAGATGAGCTTGGGTGTACTTGTACAGGCTCTGACTGGATTGTATCTTGCCAGTAAACATCATGGAATATATGTCAAAATACTGCAGCAGATAAACTCTAGCAGGGATCCTGAAGAGTTACAAGGATGAAGTTAAGCAGCTTTTCAGTTGCCTTGGATAAGTAATCATAATAAACAAAGCAAGAAGTTGTTGCTTCCTGTCTTTTTTAGTAGAAAACCAAAGGTAAGACTCAGCCATCACATTCTTGGTTGGGAACTTAAATGCAAGTTAAGTTTTTCGTTATGTCCAGCTTAGATTGTATATCTGAGTAACTGCTTTATGAGGATGGGTGGTTTTCTTTGGGAATGGGGAAAAAAGTGTTCATGTTGCCTGCTTGGTGTTTGGCTTTAACGTGGTGCTGCATCTTTTAGCAGCTGTATAAATGAGTATTATTGCAAAAGGTGTTTTTCTTCATAATGCAAACCACAGTCATTAAAAAAGAAAAGGAGGGGTGCAAGGCAAGGTCTTTCTGAAGGGGGACTTTTTACAAGGGCCTGTAATGACAGGACAAGGGGGGAATGGATTTAACCTGGCAGAGGCAGATTTAGGTTAGACATTGGGCAGAAGTTCTCTACTATGAGGGTGCTGAGGTGCTGGCACAGGGTGCCCAGAGAAGCTGTGGCTGCCCCATCCCTGGCAGTGTTCAAGGCCAGGTTGGACACAGGGGCTTGGAGCAAGCTGCTCTAGTGGAAGGTGTCACTGTCTGTGGCAGGGGTTTGGAACTGGATGAGCTTTAAGGTCCATTCCAACCCAAACCATTCTGTGATTCCTCAAAATCCAAGTATTTTTCTCCCTCAGCTTTATTCCACTCTGCTAGCACAGACTTTTCCTCACGTGATCACTCCATCAAGGTGACACAGGTCGCATTGTACAGAACTGTTGCCACAGCATTCAGGCGTGATGCTCATGTTGAGCTCTCAGCATCTCTATCAAGCAACCAAAAAAAGCCTGATTGGAATATGCTTTGTCCTTGTGACCAGTTTGCCTTGGAATTAGCCTTTTCCCAAAGCAGGGAATTATGTTGAGACTGCCTCAGAGAGCAGGTGCTGCCTGTAAAACTACTTCTCACATTAAGATGCAAGTGGTTCAGAGTAACCATGTGCTGTTTCTCTATGATCAGGAGTAGCAGCCTGATTTGTACAGGGAAGCAGCAAAGGCACACAGCCTCCACCATACCCATGATCTGAAGTTAGTTTAGCTTTCCCTAGTTCACAATCTCACTGTATCATGCAGTGTTCCAATACTGGTCTGCATCTAAGGATCGATCTTGTCCGTACCTCTAACCCGTGTTAGAGATCCTCACAGAGCGAGTGGTTTACGAGGCCGTGAATTACTGTTATCTCCTGAAGTCATCAGCCAACAGAACCACTTACCTGTGATAGTAAAAACATAAAATCAAACTTTTACTCTGCAGTACTATCTTTAAGAATGAAAATGAATGGCTTGGTGGTTATTGCGAGTGTTTGACAACATGCAGTTAAGACACGGCAAACAGATCCTGGTGCTTTTTAAAGTAGGAGGTTCAAAAACCATCTTCATTCCATGGGCTGCTTTCATTTTGGTATCAATTCAAGTGATAGTTATTCTCTGTAATCAAAATGCATGTTCTGGTATTTAATGGTCCAACTTGGACAAACCACATTTTTTTAGATATTAATTTCTTAGGGTGAAAGGTGAAGGAACAAGAAAAATAATCCCATTTCTTAATGTTTTTAGGAAGTTGCAAAGCCTGATAACTGTTTCCAGTGTAACTGATGAATATGCGCATTGTAGATACGTATTCTAAGTGTTGGCATTGGCGATGTCAGGGATGAGCTATGTACTCCTTAGTGTTGTGTTTAGAGGAGGCAACAGTTGCAGTTATAGCCTGTGCTTCTCATTAAACTGGGGGTTCGCAAATTAAGTGTAAGACTGCAACTGTTTCAAAATCCAGCAGGACACTCAGGTGCCATCAGTGAGTTCTGTTGTATGTGTGCATGCATGCATAAGGAGTGTCCTCATGGAAACACCCGCTACCCACTTCATAGGCAGGGTACAGCATACCACATACAGCTCTCCAGAGTCAAAGGACCAGCTTTTACCTGGCTTTTGCCTCCTACTGTCACAACTTGCAAACATTGCCTTCTGTTTGAAATCAGTTACAACAGGTTTACGTTGTGTCATTTTGTTGCATAGAATTATAGAATAGTTAGGGTTGGAAAGGACCTTAAGATCATCAAGTTCCAACCCCCCTGCCATGGGCAGGGACACCTCACACTAAACCATGTCACCCAAGGCTCTGTCCAGCCTGGTCTTGAACACTCAGGGATGGAGCATGGTTGTATCCCTTGCATGGTTGTATCCCTTTCAGTAGAAACAATCCCCTATAGGCTTGCATGTGACAGCAATAGCTTCTATGGTGTTCTCAGGAGAGCAGCCTTTAGGGATGGTGTTTATCTTGCTTGCCATCTGAACTACAGCCAGAAGCACACTCAGACTGGCCACAGAGAGGAATCAACAGAGCACCAGAAATACTAAAAAAGAACCAATTTCATCTTCCCTATGGACCATTTTTTTATGCTGAATCTCAATGTTATGATCTATTGCCCTGTAGCTGACTCCTTCCTCTCCCTGCCCCTGTCTTAGCCCAGTTCCTGGCATCCTTCTAATGACCAAGGCACAATTATTTCTCCAGATCCACACACATCACACTTAAACTGGGTGAAAAACGGTAGAATCAGCTACTGGCAATATGCAATTTCACACAGGATGTTCTTCAACCACGAAGCCCATTTAAGCAGATCCCACACCAAATGTATCCTCCAGACATTTACAGCCCAACAGCAAATACAATCCCACTGACATCGATTCTCTTTAACTACAAACTCCATAGAACTTCAGTTTTTAAGTATCACTACATTTACAAAAAAGATCAAATATTAGGAAGAAGCTCTTCCCTGTGAGGGTGCTGGCACAAGCTGTGGCTGCCCCATCCATGGCAGTGTTCAAGGCCAGGTTGGACACAGGGGCTTGGAGCAGCCTGCTCTAGTGGAAGGTGTCCCTGCCTGTGGATGGGAACTGGATGAGCTTTAAGTTCCCTTCCAACCAAGTCCATTCTATGATTTTGATGAGAGTATTCTGGAGTTCGGGTATTCCAGGTTGAGAGAGAGGCGAGGCACAATAGGTAAAAAAACAACCAGTTTATCATTATAGGAAAAGATAGGGAGAAAGATCTGGCAAAGGGTAAAAGAAAGATGGATATTTTCAGTGAATGTTTATCTTACCAAAGACCATGTGAAGACAATCAGGAAACCAGCTCCGAGAGATGTCATCACAGTGCAAGGTGGCAGGCTCAACCTTAGCAGGCGTCCCAGTGGAGGCAACGTTGACCTGGGTGATGAGATTCTGCCTCCTCTTGCTGCATGAAGCTTGGGCTTTTATACCAGCAAAATTGCACACTCATTCCGACGCAGGGGGACAGCGTACATTGGAAGCAATAGCCAGCTATACAAAAAGGGTCTCCGGGGGGTCAGGACTTCTAGGGGATTTTCGGGAAGGAGCCACCGTGGATCATTATCTCCATGTCTTGCAACTGGTATGAGACTCCCTTTTGCTAACAGCAGTGTTAACTCCCCTATTTTCAAAGTTATTTTCCCACAACTCGTGCCAAACAGTACTGTTCTATTTTTGTGTGTTTCACCACGGACCATTATCTATTGTCACTGACACACGAGAGGCATGAGAAACCCAAGACTCGGGAAGTACCGAGTGATGCCAAGTGCTGGAATGTGGTTCCCTATGTTTCCTTTGACACTGTCTCTCCAGGCAGGCAGAGACTGCAGGAACACTATTTGTTTTTTCCTCCCAGATGCTGCTAAGCTCTTCAGAGGAAAGAGAGAGAAGTTAATTTAGATTATGTTAATTTAGATTGCTACTACAAGTCACAGCTCTGGAATCAAACTGTAGAGGACTAACAGAGAACTGAGCATGAAATTGCTTCCTATTTAAATACTAAACAGTCTTCAAGCAACCGTGGTGTGGAGGAACACCAGAAGAGGACAGTGGCTTAACAGTGGTGGCACTTGAAGCTATGGAACATACAGTTTAACACCCACACACATTTCATCCCTCAACAAGGTAATTTGTACAACTGGAAGCCAAAAGGCAGAGCACACTGCAATGCTTTCCTGTTCTTAAGTAATATTTTTTGTCAATTGTTCCATTTTATCAAGCTGCAGACCACTGTCACTAGAACAGTGAACACACAACACTAGCACTACCTGGGGCCCAAAAACCAACAGGCTGTTTTAAACTGTGCTCTACAAAGTGTTGAAGATGAGAAGAAATCAAAGAGCACAGCACATGCCTCACTCTGGAGCTTGAAGCTGTCCTTCCAGCACCCTCAAACCTTTTGCTACACTCTAGTGCTCAGCGTGGAAATAATTTGATGAAGGATTCTGGTTTAACAACGTAATATTAACCAGCCATCAAACTTCTGAACCTAAAAATGGGGCAGAGGAGGAAGATGCAATAGACCACAGAAGCTTTTATGTAACTGTTCTAGTCCTCCATGGTTTATTGATCAAACATACCCACATTAATAAATTATGAAGAAAGAAAAACAATTGTAATAAACAAGGAGCGGTGATTCCATGAAGCACAGCTCTTCAGTTCAAGGAATAACACACCTTTGTTTCATCCTCACCACAACATTAATTTGACAGACAGATGAGTAAGAACTGTTTTCCCCTACATACCCACATCCACTTTATCTTGTTTTCCAACTGACAACTCACACAGACAGCAACAACAGCACTTTCCCCTTCCTGTTTTCCCACTGTGTGTAATGAACCACTCAATTAAAGCAAGGCATTGATGAGAAGATGAAAAACACATTTGAGCCCATACATTTAAAGATCAACAAGTCTGATTTTATTACGATCTTGTATTCTTATCTGGATGGCACATAATTACAAAGAAACATTTACAATATATTTTTCAAGTATTAAGTTATGTCATTTCAAGGCTTTCACTTCAAAAAGCTACATTAATAACACACCATACAGATAGTACAGTTGGTTAAGAGTTTCAAATAACTTCCTCCCCTCTATTTGGTTTAAATATGATTCAGTAGGCACTAGAAATGCCTGCAGCCACTTACTTCCTG